TGTAACTGATTGTAGTGCTTTTCAGAAAACTTTAGATAAAAAAGATTTAACTCCTAAAATTACAAGATGGGCAATGTTTATTGAAGAATTTGATTATGAAATTGTACATCGTTCAGGAAGCCAAATGAAACATGTTGATGCTTTAAGTAGAAATGCTCTAATTTTAACATCATACACATCCGATGTAACTGAAAAGATTTGGTTAGTACAACAACAGAATGAAGATGAACAAGTGAAATTGATAAAGAATTTAGTTGAGAAGGGAGAAGAAAATGGATTCTTCATGAGAAATGATATTTTGTACAAATTTGAAAATGGTAAAGATCTTCTAGTAGTGCCAGAATCCTTACAGAATGAAAGCATACAGAAGGTACATAAAAAAGGTCACTTTGCTGTAGATAAAACTGTTAATGCTGTAGAGCAAGAATTCTATATTCCCAGACTGAAATGTAAAGTTGAAAAAGTAATTGCTAACTGTATAGAATGTATACTGTACAACAAGAAGCAAGGAAAAGCAGAAGGATTTCTTCATCCTGTACCGAAAGAAAACGTTCCCTTGAGTACGTATCATATCGACTTTATTGGACCTCTTCCATCAACGAACAAGAGATACCAACACATTTTAACTGTTGTCGACGCTTTTACGAAATTTACTTGGTTCTATCCAGTGAAATGAAATCACCAACTACACAAGAAGTTATTTCAAAATTGAAGCAACAACAGACTGTATTTGGAAATCCAGCCAGAATCATTTCAGATCGAGGTAGTGCCTTTACATCGAAAGAATTTTCAGCTTATTGTACTGAAGAAGGAATAGAACATGTCAAAATTACTACCGGTATTCCAAGAGGTAACGGACAAATTGAGCGAATTCATAGAATTTTGATTCCTGTTTTGTCAAAATTATCACATGAAGATTCAACGAAATGGTTTAAGTATGTTCCAGATGTTCAGAGAATCATCAACAGTACGACTACGAGAAGTGCAAAATATTCACCGTTTGAGCTTCTCATAGGCACGAAAATGAAGAACAAAGAAGATTTGAGAATTAGTGAGATATTGAATGAAGAATATCTAAAACAATTGATGCAAGAACGTGATGAAATGAGAGAAGATGCGAAAAACAACATTTTGAAGATACAAGAAGAGAACCGTAAACAATTCAACAAAAAACGTAAGAAACCTAAACTATACAAGATTGGCGACTTGGTAGCCATTCAGAGAACTCAATATGGGACTGGTTTGAAACTACGACCTAAGTTTCATGGACCGTATAAAATCATAGCTGTTCGACCAAAGGACAGATATGAAGTCGAGAAAGTAGGATGCCATGAAGGACCGAATTTGACATCTACTGCGGCTGACCATATGAAGCCATGGTCAAATTGATTTAATGCTTGTCCTTAGTTCAGGTCCTTAGCTCAAAACCTAAGGACCTGATACTTTCTTTTTTCCTTTTTTTTTTTTTTTTTAATTATTATCTTTGCAGGTACACGATAGTGATGTCCATTCAACAGACATCGAGGACGATGCCTCTTCAGGCTGGCCGAAGCTGTGGGAGTCATCAACGTCCAATGCTGAATTAGAATACCAGGATTATGACGTCATCAGTATAGCATCACCCAGCGCAGTAAGAATCATCCCAGACAGCGCTGAGACCTGGTCAAGAGCGGAGGGCAGAAGTGAGTAGACGGCTCACACGTCTTCAAGAGTTTATGAACTTAGATTGTGCTTTTGATGTTATGCCTTTAGGTGTAAAAGGACTTCATCTTAAGTTAATCCTGCATACCGTTAACTTCATCTTTATATACTTTTCTTAATTACTTTTATTTCTTTCTATTAAATAAACCATTTAAATATTACTTCGTGCTCTCATGCTGTGAATTAAGTCACATTCTACATATATATACATACAGAAGGGAGCAGAGTGTCTCTAAATGTTTTAAAAATTGAGAAAATATTTTCACAGAAATTCAAAAAACAATTTTCTTGAAAAAAATTAGAAATTGTTTCTGTCTGCAGCAACAGATACTGTCATTCTAAACTTCATATGATATTCTGCGGAAGAAAACGTGCTTAAATGCTGTACAGGTATTTCATTACACAGCTTTTCACACCATCTAATGCTCAATGTGTCTAAGATAGGAAATCACATCCTGCAAGACTGTGATCACATCATTCACCGATGAAAAAATTCCAATCAGAATTTTATGATAATGTTAGATTAAGCTCCAATGAAACTGCAATCAGTGATATTTTTCTTTATTTGTGCTAATTATTACACTGAATGCTTTAAATTTTTTACTACTGTTAATTATATTTACTTTGGATTTGTCACTTATTCCACTTTGTATTCTCAAATACAAATGGTGGTGTGTATGGTGTATTTAATTATGGCAAAGCACACTAGGGCTATCTGCCTAAGGGGAGGGATGCCTTTCGTGGAGGACTTTCTAAGGGCAACTGGCTCGTATACACGTTACACATGGGGAAAACCACGAAAACACCCATGCAGCCAGCCCGTTCGCGGGATTCGAACCTCGGACCGAACTACCAGTGTTCAGCGACTTTACCACTCGGCCGCTGGTGGGCTCTCAAATACAAAAGTGAAATACATGACTACATATTGTACAGAGAGCCACAGAATTTCTACATTCATAAAATTCATACTTTCACAAAAACAGTAATGATATTTAAGATAATTACACAACTAATTATGAAGAATGATAAAATCAAAGAAAGTAGCATGATCAATTCAATAATAATAAAGAAATAACCTTTTCTAATTTTATAAATAGAGAAAAAATGTAAATATACATTAATATGTAAATCATATTCTTTAGTCATGAAAACTTCGGTTAGTTACATATTAAATATTCTCCCCTGTTTGCACAGTGGTACGGGAACTGCCTATCATAGTCGTGGCCTGGGTTCAAATCCTAGAAAAGGCATGGATGTTAATGCCTTTATAGCATGATGGCAGTTAAAATACTGTCAAGCCAAAAGTTTCTCAAGAAGTTGTAGAATGGGGGGGGGAGGAGTGGGAAACCCTCATATTTAACCCCCAGGGGTATGTCCAGTTTTTAAGAAGAACCCAAGGGGTTCATTATCGAAATTAAGATGCAGCTGGGCAGTGTTACTTATAAGGCACCTAGGCCAACAACAGGTACAATTTTGCCCTTGGCTACAATAAAATTGGTAAATTTGATCTGATGTTACTATCAGACAAGTGACATAAGTCACAACAGCAATATATTCAATGTATGGTACAATGCAGGAAATCTTACTAATTGTGGGAAGACATGATATGATACATTGAACAAAAGAATTTATTATATATAATGTATGCTATCTTAAAACTAAAAGTTTTTAATCCATCAGTGGCTGTTTAGGTATGTTCAGTCAAGAAGAAGAATATTATGTGTTGAATATATTGCTGAAAAATATAGTAAAAGCTATAAGATATTATTACAGTGAAGGTCTGATGACTATTCGTCCAATAGTAGTGTTATTGATGAGGTCACAAGAAAATTATTCTGATGTAATCTGTAGCATAAGCATCAACTCTGGGACAACATCATTATAGCTCAAAGCTATGGACCAAAATTCTGTTGAAGAGAGAAAAAATATTCAACTCAATCCAAAGTTCTCCTTCATACAATTCTCTAGTTACACTTTATAAAGACTAATTGTGGTGAAAGGATTAAGGAAGTCAAAGATGAACTATTTGTGGGACACTAGACTAGTATGAAAAGAAGTAATAAACAATAACTGTATAAGACTTTAAACTGAATTAACTCAGTAATCTTAATATTTTGGATTTACTATCACTTCTACTTTTGTCAATTATCACCAGAATGCAAATTAGATAAAGTATAAGCAAGTTTTTACTTTCCAGGTTTTTTTGGAAGAGAAGAGAGCTTGGCACCACAGACTGAGCATAGGCTATGTGTTCTGTCTCTTTCTGCTGTTGAAATTTAAATTGTTGGCTTAAGTGTCTGCTAGCCATGATTTGTTTTCATTCAGCAAGGGGAATCCAAAGTTCAATTAGCCATGTTAATTATGTATTCTACAATTCTACATTTGATTCACTTTGAACATGTATTTTGGTTACAAGCAAGCTAACAGAATTGAGCTTCTACTACACTTTCATTTCAGATAAACCCAGGTTGAAATTCTAATGAATACTTTTATTTTAAACTTTTACTTTAACTGCGATCTTTTGTAGTTAAAAGGCAAACAGGTGGCAAAGTCATCTGACAGCATCTCATGATTACTCAGAAATGAACTGGTATTTTAAAATAGTAGCATAACTGTAAAATAACAAAGTGTGCCTAGCTGAATCTAAACCGATTTTTCATACAATTCCTTAACAGCATTTTCTAAAAACAAAATCAGATCAATGAATTAAGAAAGGCAAAGATGAGTTATTTGTGGAAAATTAAACTACTATTAAAAGAAACACAGAATGAAAAGGAAGAAAGTTTAATTGATATTACTTGTTGAAAGGCTACTGAAGCATTAAATATATATGTAAAATTTGCATAGCATAACAACTGTAAAACAATACAGAAGTAATGAATCTTCATACTCTACTCAACAGTGTTTTGATGAAAAGATGGACATTGAAACTATGAAAAGTCATCATAGAACAGCTGTATGGTAGTTTCCAAAACATAAATTGATTAAGAATAATAAATAAATTATACACAGATTTCAGTTTATCTTTTAATATTCAATCATTAAGTTCATTTATGAGTTAATATTATGCACAGCTTCATTTAAAATACAGCGTTTTTACAGCAGTTTAAATTATGTTTACAAAATTGTTTTTACTGAATTATGTTCTAAGGTCCAATAATCCAACACATCTAACAATTAAGCATTATCAAACCTGGAACTTGCCATACTACCAAACTTTTACTGTAATTTTTAATAACTTTATACATCTAACTAATAATAAAAAAAATCTTTTAAGCAAGGACTTTTAACAGGATCACCTTTGAAAGAGTGGTTAAAGCAATGCTGAGAAGTTTCAGGAACATATCATCTGATGATTCTTGAAGATAAGACAATGCTTCATATGTGGTACTTTCTAAACTTTCAAAAAATATAGCAATGACTTCTGGTCTACACAGTTTGCTGTATGAGACAGATATATATTCTCCAATAATCCAAATCTGAGAGAGGGGGAAAAAAAAAGAATGTTTTCAAAACATTTAAAAAACAATTTTAAAAAAACAACAAACAAAAATGTGATTTAAGCAAAATTATCAACAAGTCCATTAAAAAATATTAGTACCACCCTGATTGGTGGTATGAAGGTTGATTGTCAGCAGTGGGCTCCAGTTTGAATCATGGAGAAGATATGGATGTTGTGATGTAAAGTGTCTCTTTGGCAAGAGATGCTTAAAATCCTGTTCAGCTGAAAACTCTCATCAAGCAACTGCTAAGTGAGAAGAGCAGGGGATTCGTAGAACCTGAGATATTCTACATAAAAACTGGGATAGAGCTTAATAAGTCAAATTATGACTTACAAGGTGCCCAAGGACCTTGGCCAATGACAGATGTTTTCTGCCTCTTTTCTTTCTACCTATAAATTCATGGATCAGCCCAAGATCCTTTCATATTAGAAGAATAACTAACAAAAGTAACGTTAGTGTATCAAAAAGCTTTCCATAGGAACAACAAAAGTTGGTAAATATAAAAAACTTCAGTGATGCACAATCCTTTTACAAATAAAGGGCTACATAAAATTTTTCTTTTACAGTAGAGAGCTGTAATTCAGTAATACTAAATTACTTCAAACTTAAGCCGTCCTTGAATGCAAATTGCAGTAGGATTTAAAACTGGGAAATTGAAAAAAATAATAAAAAGAAAATGATTTATTCCCAGGTATTGAAAAATAAGAAACTTTTTTATTTACTGAAGATCTTCAGACATACTATCACTTTCCACAACTTCACTATCGGAACTTGAATTATCTTCACCACTGCACCAGAGCATATCACCTTCAGTGCTATTTAAATTATTAATAATGCAACAATTTAATACAGATTTTTTGATAATTTTATCAATGATATCTTTTCAAACCTGCAAAAGACACTGAGCTATCAAGACCTAATCAATGAGGAGTGGGAGATTGGCAGAAAAAAGATGTTAAAATAATCACTATTGAATAGCTGCACTCTAATTTCACATCTTAAAAATCTGAATAAAAAGTATGGCTTAAATTTGAAGTAATTCATGAAATAATAACTTAAGAAATGAAATTTTTTAAATAATTTTTAAAGCTTTTATCTTTTGTGCTTAGCTATCAGAATATAAGCTATCAACAGTAAGTTAATATACAAAGGTGGCTATTTATATTTCTGGCCTTGGCAAAAGTATGTGTTGCTAGGTGACCATACAAGATTCCAATAAAAAATTTGTTATTTTTAACCATAACTTCTAGAGAACATTTTGCCATTTTAGTGTGATTTGTATTGTTTACAGTAAACTGAACAATTCTTATCTTCGGCAAAAAAATGGAATTGACTTGGGAACATTTTCGTGCGATTAATTTTCATAATTTTTGTCTTGGATTATCAAATCAAGAGTGTTTTGATGAACTTAATTCTTAGTACAGTGATAAAGTACCATCCTACAGCATTGTAAAAATCTGGTATAACGAATTTAATCGTGCTCGACGTTCGTTCCCATAAAGGCTATCCAAAATTGGTTGTTGTGCCAGGAAATATCGATGCTGCACATGAATTGATAAAGTGAGATAATCATGTGACATATCAAGAGATTGATGCATCTTTGGGTATTAGTATAACAAGAAAAAAGATTTGTTTGTGTTGGATCCTGCATAATTTGTAAACGCTCAAAAGAAGGCTTGTGTCGAATGGTGCAAGGAAATGTTAGAAAAATATGTTCCGAGGTGCATCAAAGACTATGTATAACATCTACATAGGTGTCGAATCATGGATCTATGCATATGAGCTTGAAATACAACAGCAATTGCCTGTATGGTTCTTTTAAGATAAGCCAAATCTATCAAAAGTTGTTTGCTAAAGAAGAACATCGACGCAGATCGTTGCCCATCTCTTCGGCACTACTGGTCATGTGGTAACAGAGATGTTAAAGCAATGCAGGGACAGTCAATTTCAAATGGTACATGACCATTTGTTTGCCAGAAGTTATTGAGGAAATTAAAAAAAAAAAAAAAAGGGGGGGGCAGAAGAAGAGGCGAATCATTCTTCAACATGACAAAGCAAGCTCTCACACATCGGCTCAAACAAAGGAATTTTTTACAACCTAATTTGGCACCCAATGACTTTTTTATTCTTGCACATCAAAAACAAATTATGTGGTCAGCGATATGCAAAACCCGAAGAAGCGGTTGATGCATTCAAAACACATGTTTTGGAGTTACCTCAATCGGAGTGGAAAAAGTGATTCGAAAATCGGTTCAAAAGCATGCAAAAATTGCATTAATCTTCATGGAGAATATTTTGAATACCAATAAAACCAATTCCAATCATAAACATTTGTTTTTCATTATTACACCAGAAATAGATATAGCAACCCTTGTAGTAGATTATACTGCTATAAAATGCAACAATTAGAAACAATTAAAATCTAATAATAAGCAAAAGTAACTATTAAAAAAATTAAGAGTTTGTCAAACACAGTAGACTTGAAAATTAGTAATAAGGATAAAGTAGTGAGAATGCTGGGCTTGAATATCTCATACCAGTTGGCTGCACAAGAATTGTTTGTAAATATGGTGCAAATTTTATGAGATGGCACCATAATTCATTAACACCACAAATGATGTCATTTTTAACCGCTTCCCTAACAAATGTTTTTGAAAAAAAATTGCAAAAAATCATCACATTTTTTTATTAAATACAACAAAACGAAACAAATCAAAATATGTAGGTTTTAAGTTGAATTTTTAATTTTTGAAGGTGTAAAAGCATTTATTTTTAATATTAGTTTACTATCCCGAGTTATCTCGGGCAAATAGAAAAAAGTTAAATATTAATCTTTGTATGATAGTTTTTGAAACAAGGAACAACACAGAGTGATGCCCGACATTCTACACTGGTATCTGGTCTCTTTTCTTACTGGCTTACCACTGGAATCTCTTTCACGGAAGCACAGAGTACACTGTCTCGTTGGATTTGATTTTTTTTCCCACCTCTTCATAATTATTATCTGAAAAATCATCGCTTTCGCTATCTTGCATCATCGCCATCATTTTATTTTTTTTCAACGCATGCATCCTTCTTTATACATTACTAATCCACAAGCCAACGTATACTATACAATAGGGAAACACGTGACCAGTTCCTCCAAAAGAATCGCGCAACCAACAAAATTTGGTAAATTGTCAATCAAAGCTGAATATTTCCTTTCATTTTCTCCAGACCGAATAAAACCGTGATAAAAGAAATCGTACTAACAAATTCTGCTTTGCCCGAGTTTTCACGGGATAATAATTAACTGCAATATATACGAACCCGAGATAACTCGGGATAATCAGGCAAGCAGTTAAGCTAACTTAGGGCAACTTTCAACCAGCACTGTGTTAATGCTCACATCTTACAAACTTTTTCAATAAGAATTAAAGGAATTAAAACAATAATGGCAAAGAAATTACCTCAGAGCCTGATTTAAGCAAGGGCAAACAAGGCATTTGCCTCAGATCTTCACTGCCCACCAGCGGCCGAGCGGTAAAGTCGCTGAACACTGGTAGTTCGGTCCGAGGTTCGAATCCCGCGAACGGCTGGCTGCATGGGTGTTTTCGTGGTTTTCCCCATGTGTAACGTGTATACGAGCCAGTTTCCCTTAGAAAGTTCTCCACGAAGGCATCCCTCCCCTTAGGCAGATAGCCCTAGTGTGCTTTGCCGTAATTAAATACACACCAGATCTTCACTTTTAGGTAGCCTTCCAAATTTTTCTATAATATTTAAACTATTTAAATGATTCTTTTTAGCTCTAGGTTTAAAAAATATAAACGTAAAATCTGCATTTGAGTTTTTTATGTCTTTTTTTAGCAATCAGACACTGGATCATTGTCTTGATCTCTTAATGGTGACTAATATCATTTAGAAAAGCTACGATTTCTAATCTTACACTCTAACTATTACTCTGTTGTCTAACCACATATGAAGCTTATAATGTAATGTGAATATGATATTTTTAATTATTGGTGATATGGTCATACATCTTATTATTAAATTAATACACATTATTTAAACATTGATAAAAGTTGCATTGTTTAGGATTTTATCTCTGTAATTTAATAAATCAAAGTTTGTAGTGAAATCAATAAGAATTTTTTTAGTTTCTTCCCTTTATACCAACTTTTTTCTACACAAAAAGATAAGACCTTGATTTAAAATGATTGTTCTACACGATTATACGATTATACATGATTAACCACTATACAACATGTAATAAACGGAAACCATAAAAACAAAACATACATAAATGGGAAATGACATTTTTTTATTTAAATAACTTTAACGGAAAAATAGTAAATTATACCACTATTTCACAAAATACATTATATAATTCACATCAGTGATATCTATTGTATTCGAAAAAGTTAGAAAAAAATGGGCTTCCAGTTTTATAACCCAGACCGAAATTCCACACAACTAAAAATTTCTTATTAAAAAAGCAGATGGTAACCCATATCAGAGTTGAAGTTACTGGGATTCTGCACTAATACTGATGATTATATCTGTATTAATAAGTTTAAATGTGCTTGAACATGCACTAAAATTAAATACATTCCAGGGGCCCAGCTGAAACCACCAAAATTAATGTCACTGAAAAGGATCATGATATTGTTGTAAAAGATGAGTAAACAAAAGCACACAAGACTACAGAGAGCATATGCCCCTCCTCAGTGTACAGCATTACACAAAATTCTATTTGCAAAGCACATTATATTCTCCCGAAAATATTACAGATAAAAAAGCTATGTGCATAATAGCAGTCCAAACACTAGGATTCAAGAGAACCCTGACAAAGAAAAGCCAATCTACCGAGTCATCTCATTAAGTAATGCTGTTTTTCAGACATGATTTGTTACAAAATGTTCTAAAGTGTTTAAATAAATGAATTTTTACAGATATATAAATATCACTCAGAAGAGACAACTTCATTCAGGTAACAC